CTTTACCGAATGTTTGCATTTGTTTATAGTCAGCCTTTTCTATGTGCCCTAAAGTTTACCCTTAAGATAGTTTGACCCAACCAACCAAATACTTGGTTCATTTGAAGACAATAAATTGGAGTTGGTATAGGTCCCTTTTTTCCGATCTAAGATTAATACTCTCAATAATGATGATTGTTCTTCCACCTGAGCCGATCACGACAGGATGCTTGTGGGCCAAATGTATCCTTCTACCCAGCCTCGAGGGTCATGTGTTCAGATGTGATGATGTATCTTTCTACCCAGCCTCGAGGGTCATGGGTTCAGATGTGATGATGCATCAAAGAATGATGTCATCCCAGTTTAGCAGTAAAGTAAATTATGTGCTTGCCCTTTTTGGTATTGCTCCTTCGGCAGTATATTCCTTCCCTCTGCTGTTGTTGTTCCCTTCTTCTTGTTGTTCTCTTGTTGTAGTAGTTGTTATTATTATTATTATTATTATTATTATTATTATTATTATTATTATTATTATTATTATCATCCCAGTTTAGCAGTAAAGTAAATTATGTGCTTGCCCTTTGGTATTGCTCCTTCGGCAGTATATTCCTTCCCTCTGCTGTTGTTGTTCCCTTCTTCTTGTTGTTCTCTTGTTGTAGTAGTTGTTATTATTATTATTATTATTATTATTATTATTATTATTATTATTATTATTATTATTATTATTATTATTATTATTATTATTATTATCATCCCAGTTTAGCAGTAAAGTAAATTATGTGCTTGCCCTTTGGTATTGCTCCTTCGGCAGTATATTCCTTCCCTCTGCTGTTGTTGTTCTCTTGTTGTAGTTGTTGTTGTTATTATTATTATTATCATTATCATTTTTATCATTATCATCATCATCATCATTATCATTGTTGGAGAAGATTGTAGGAGCCAAAAAATGTGTTGGAACTTTAAAAGAAATACGAAAAAAAAACACTTCAAACTCAATAATTTAGAAATACGGAATAACTAATTTATTTTGTATTGAGAGAAGAGAACCAAAAAACTCTGGTTCTACAAGTAGATTGATGATGAGTTTCGTTTTCCTTCTATCTGAACTTTTAAAGTAGTTTCATATAAATCGTGAGATTTTTTCATTATTTATTAATCTTGTCAGTATGAGACTGAAAAAATAATGATATTTCCGAGTCTTTAATCGATAGGTATAAATGAATGAGCATTTCTTTAATCGATAGGTATAATTGAATGAGCATTTAAATTAACATACTGGTGACACGTCATATGATTTGTAAATTTGATCTTAAAATTTGGTTTGCAAATTACTTTTTCTTGAAGGTTAGACATTTGTGTTCATTGCGCAAGACTTGGAAAAATTATGTTTTCAATGTTAAATGCGGTTATGATAGTTATGTTCTCAATGTTAAATGTAGTGGTGATAATTATGGCCTCAACGTTCAAATGTGCCTCAAATTTTTTGGGTAAGCGAATTTATGCGGGAATCCACAGGGCTTGGTGGGTGGGTTGGGGTTGGGGTTGGGGTTGGGTTTGGGTTTGGGGAAGGGGGAGGGGGGAGGGGGAGGGGGAGTGGGGAACGGGATTGCCCGATGTTTTGGCTAATTAAAATAACTAAAATTATAATTGTGAAGATGTCGCATTTGAAAATTACTTCTGATTCCCCTGCGAAGTTATATTTTTCATTGCGCAAATTTTTGCATCTTGAATTTTGCCCAAGTACATAAGGGTTTTAGGTGACGAATTGTATTTCATCGAGTAAACACTTTTTAGTATTAGCGGTTTCATTAAAAAAAAAAAAACAATTGAAATATAAAAAGTAGCTCAACTACTTATCCGCACATGCAAGGTCCTTCATTTTCCCGATGTGGGATTGATAATCCCAACACGCCTCCTTACGTGTAGCGAATTTTCAAGTCTAGCACGTGTACATCACAAATCAGGTGACGTAGAGCACAAGACAACATGCTCTGTTACCATGAAGAAACTTGAGGTTCTACCATATAACCAATTAGTAATATAAGGAATAGTCCAATTACTTATAAACATATGCAAAATCCTACTTTTCTAAAATTGATACTCCCTGCTATGATAAGAACGTGGTTGTTGTATCCTAGGAAACAAGTGTCATTGGGAAAACACTTTTCTGTATTAGTCGTTCTATCGTAAAACCAATTGACAATATGAGGACTAGAATCCTTCATTTTTTCGATGTGGGATTGATACTCTAATACACCCCTTCACGTGTGGCGAATTTTCAAGTTTAACATGTGGACAACACAAATCAAGTGTGAAGTTTAATCAAACTTCACACTATTATTTTCATTTGGTGATAAGTTTTATAAAATTTGCCCATCCTCTTAATACACATGGTGTGCAGTTTGTGATTTTTTACGAAGTTTTATGATCTTTAAACATCATTTCATCACATTTTGGGAAATGATGTCCCAATTTGTCTCTTCATTGTCTTAAATTGTGTAATTAACCCTTTATTATGTTCATGAAAGTACAGCGGTGAACTGACATTATGTAAATTCTCAATCCAAGTAAGTCCTCAATTTCATATATTTTAAAAAAAAATTTATACTTTTGTTCACATTAATCAATATTATATTGCAGTTTGAAATCTATGATATACATTTATTTACTTTCAAACCTAAATTCTACATCTATTATATCAAATTTAAAAATAAAAAAAAACTAATGAAAACAATTTGAAAATTTTGAGTTTTAACGATAAGGACAAAATAAAAGGTAAAGTGAATAGTACAAGGATTGACTTTTTAGTGTTAAAATGTGATTTTTCGTTAAAATGAACAGTATCGGGAGCTTTTCGTTAAAATTCTCATTTAAAAACCCCTCCAAGCTTAGACATATATTTATTTAGCTCTCTGTATTAAGAATTTATCGGTGTTCTTCTACTCATTTAAAAAAAAAAATTAATATCTTCATGTACTTTGTTTGGATACTTTGAAAGTATGAAAACTACAAGAAATATTTAAGTCTGTGACATCAGGCAATTTAGCATGGTTACTTCTTGTTCTCTTCAAGGTGAGACAATGTTTATCTTTGTAAATATATGTATCTTAGCAAAAACCACAAATGATACTGCAGATCTTCTTTTTTTTTCCTCTAATTTTTTTTTATTTTTTTTTAAATTTTTTTACAAATGCTTCTCAACAATTGAGCCCTTTTTGTCAGTATTCATATTTCAGGTGTTGAGCTTCCACAAATTTCAGGGCGTTCAAACTTTATACACTCGAATGAAATGGTAATTAAATTTCTTAAAATTATAGTTTATTACTAAAAAAAATGGACTTATTTTCTCAGCATGATAATCTATATGTATGTTTACACATTATCCAACTTGCTTCTACAAAATCAAAATACTTATATCCACCTACAAAATTCTGTTGAAGAAGAGAGATTTTTAAACTGCAGTTTTTCTTTAATTATTCACAAATGTATGTACAAGTTAACGAAAAAGCATGTATGCTTTTTTGATGAATTTGATTCGAATTGGTAAATTTTGGTAACAAAAAAACCTATGATAAATTAAAACACTGTCATTAAATAAGATTATATGCTCAGTGTACCTATATATAGTTCTATTTGAACTAACTTTTTTTTTAATTTAAATTTTATTTCTCTGCATAGTCTAGAAAAATTATGCTTTCCTAATTATTTCACACAATTTTGTTTGGTTTTAAAAGTTTTGCTATAATTTTCTCTGATGAAAGGACATTTTATGACAAAAACCAGGATCAATTTGTTTGCAGCTTGAAGATTTCTACTTTCACCAAGTTTATCTCCAACTCCAGGTATTTTCTCCCATTGACGAACTTAAAATCAACTGCACTTCTATACTTTGGTTATCATTAGGTAAAATAGGCTGACCATATGCATATTTCATCATAGTCTAACAACAATCACAACAAAATTAGCAATACATACGGTCATAAATAGATTTCTATGTGTATATAAATGCTACTCCATACCTACAGCATCGCGTGGGCATCGCTGCTAGTTTTCAACTATATGAGAATTGTTTCTCCACCTCGGCCGATCAAGACAGGATACTAGTGGGCCAAATGTAGTTCTCCAGCCAGCCTCGAGGGTAATGTGTTGAGACGTGATGATGCATCAAAGCATGATGTCATCCGAGTTTTATCATATTGAGTTAATGAATGTGAAATAGAAATAAATAAATAATTGAGTTATTTGTCTATCATCTTTTACCAATGCTTACAATGGTTTGTCCATCTGAACATGCTGGGAAAAGTTCAATCCGTCTCATTGGTGGACAAAATATTTCCAAGTGACTAGTATTCAAGTGGGTACTTCGCATGTCATAAAATAAGTGTAGTGATACAGAAAAAATAAATCATTTCCTCCACTTGGTTTGCCTATTTTATGGGAGTGAGACACTTTTTCTATGAGACAATTGAGTAAACAACACGGTTTGGTATACCAAGTATTATAATACAAGTGGTTGGATACTTGGAAACAATATATATCTAATCATTTTATTATGACATTTGGTGTGTTGGACCGTGTTCCCGATATATTGAAAAAAAAAATTCCACTAAGTGTAATAATGAAAGTGGTTAGACACATAAACAATTTACTTCTCTCAAATTATGTTATGACACTTGTTGTATTGGGTCGCTTCCCTATTATATTGAAAATTTCTCCATCATGAGAGCGTGACCTTTATTTCTTTTTTTTTTTACTCAAGGGACATTTCAGACCTTTCCTTTTGATCAACATCCCTGCTCATGAGATTATATAAATGGGGTGTGGTATCCACACACCCCTTTTTACTTCTCACACATCATTTGTTAATTTATGTCCGTTGATCTTTTTCAATTCATCTGATCCAATGGCCGAAAATTAGAAGGGTGTGAGAAGTAAAAAATGGTGTGTGAGAAATAAAAAAGGGTGTGTGGATATCACACCCCTATATAAATATGCATTACCTCTTATAGAAATGCACCAGAGAAAAATCGAGAGAGAGAGAGAGAGAGAGAGGATTAATCAAGTTCAGTGTAGCGATGGCCAACAACGTTTTTGGCAACCCCATCACCGAGGAAACTTTGAAGGTGATGCCGGAGTATCAAATAAAAAGATTAGACAAGGCACGAGTGGCATTGAGCATGAAAGATGTCGACGAGAAGAGCACCAACGCTCGAACATATGTGGAGCAACTGAGGGAGAGGTATGGCCCGCGAATCTCCACACGCTGCCTTGTTTACAATGCAACTGGGGACATGATAACATTTCATGCTAGCAAAGATTGGTATGGGCACATTGAAGGGGCAGCACCATACCCAACAGTGATTTCAAATGGTCAGTGGGGTGCGTTTCTGCACGTCCAAACGACTACACCATTACCATTGGCTGGATCCAATGCGGCTGTTGTGTATCGAGGCCTGAATAACGCCGGTAGCGAATGCTACTGGTTGTTGTCTTGGGACAACCCATTTAACAGGGCAGGGAACAAGGTGAGTATTAATGACTTCTTTTCTAATGATTTAAAAAATGACCATTAACAGTCATATCACATAATATACAAAATATTGTCTAAAAATAATCTCTCTGGCATCATTCTTTTTTATACAATAGCAATATATATATTATGTACAGTAACAATTAAGGGAAGCTAAACACATTGATATCTCTTAAATACTTGCAATATGTACGTAAGTGCAGGTCTATACAGAGGTTCGCAAAGCTGGCGCCTTTGATGCTGCTTGGGACGATATCTGTTCTGCCTTGGAGAGTTCTACTGGGACCACAGTGGGCATATCGAATGGATGCGTGTCAAGGATGACAATTGGCACCGACACTTCCCCAATTGTTGAAGCAATACTCACTTTAGAACATGCCGAAGAACCAAAACCCACTACGGGACATGCCTAAGTTTGTTAGATAATGCTTAGGTACACACTAGTGAGTATTTATATACTCACTTTTCAGATTTGGTCTAATAATAAGGCAACACATGTTTTATTGTTTTTAAAACAAGAAACATGTGTCATCTTTTAATTGGACTAAACAAAAAAATGAGTATCTGTAGTCCTTACTAGTGAGTACCTACCTAAGTATTTTCCCAGTTTGTTTGTGCGTATGTAATGCTTTATTTTCTCATATGTGTGGGGGGCCTTTCAATTAACCTGGGATGCATAATAAAATGGTGTCAGCCAAATACTATCCCATGTTAATGCTATTACAATAATAGGCCTGTAGTTTGAATTTGAATCTTATGCATGATACTAAGCTTAATATTGTAATATTTTAGAATAACGGAATGGATTCCGAGTCTCTATATTTACCATCTTTTTAGTTACGTACATTTAGACAAATTTTGATCATTTGGTTAATCTAACGTAATTTAATCAATCCACATCAGATTTAGTTTGAGATCGCCTTCGCACCATATCACCATGTGCCTCACTGACACTGTTCTAAAAATCTCCGCCTAGGCACTAGGTGGCTGGTCACCGCCCCAATTAATGCCTAAGAGTTTGAAAATAAAGAAATGGCGCCTAGACCAGTTAAGGTGCCCACCTAGACCGCCTAGGCACTTGCCTAGGTTACAACTCACTTAGACAGAAAATAGATAACTTTCAATTTGCATTTAATTTTTTTCAATAAATTGTAAAAGACTTGTTGAATACTTAAATGAGCACACACTATATGCTTGTTCCCCATGTTTTCATTATATTCCAATACTTTATAATACTTATGTCATTCTATTTTATAGTTTATGATAAAATTATATATATTTTAAGTATAAACAGACACTTATTTACACAAAATATAATGAATTTACTTAAATCCGCTTAAGCGCCCGCCTAACCGCCTAGGCGCTAGGTCCCAACCCGCCGCCCGACTAACGCCTAGCGTCTTTTAGAACCTTGCTCGCTGCCATTCTCCCCACCCTTCTCTCTTGCCGTCTTCTCCCCTCTTCTGTAAAGTCACGAAAAAAAATAACTTCACATGGATGCTGTGTGGTTTCTTATGATTTTTTTTTTGGGCACCGTGTGGATTCGTTTGATGGATGGCTGAATGGATGACTAATATCAGTTAATCCTACTAATTGTGTCTTTCTCTGGAGTCCAATAGAAGAACAAGACTGATTTGAAAAAAACCGAAGAACAAAGGCACCTATTTTCTTATTTTATTATATCTATGTACGAAGAACGCCCATTTTCGTTTCTCCATATATGTCTCATGCCAAGGGCAAATTGAATATTAATTTTTGGAAAATTGAAATTCTCAATACAGTACAATTGTGAAAAGCAATTGAAGTTTTCGATCAATTCAGCATTGTGCGGTGGAACAGAAGTTGGGAAGACAGCGAGAAAGTACACTCCTAGACATATATAGATTAGTGCTAAGGTGTAAATGTGTGTTATGTTATAGGGTAATTGCCTATTTAGTCTATGAATTATCACTTGAGTGAAAATTAGATCCCTAAACTATTTTTTCAGAAAAATCAGTATTTGAATTATAAAATATGCCAATTACATCCCTAATATTAGATTTGAAGCTACTATATTCAATTTTCCGTCAATTCAAGTCACATTACTTCCATGTGATACACATTGGAGAGTAGATTAGTAATTTTTTATTAAGAAATAGTGCATGGAGTTAACTTTGAAGGGTAAATTAGAGTTAGATTCACAACCTATATGAAATGTTAAGGGTTTATAGGCGAGAAATTAAAGGTCAGTATTACATTTTAAAGCGTGTCAAGTGACTTAAGTTGACGAAAAATTGGATAAAATAGCTTTCAATATAATAGTAGAGATGAAATTAACAATTTTTAATGAATTTAGAGACTTATTTTACCAAAAAATAATTCAGGAATCTAATTTTCACTGAGGTGATAGTTCAGGGCTAAATCAACACTTCACCCTATGTTATAATATGACTTGACTCATATAGTTCATTTTATTAGGGGGAAATTGACAGAAATGGGCTATTTTCTTAAGGGAAATTTTATTTGGACTCATGTCTCTTCTTTCTACACCAAATTTACTATCTAGACTACCCTAACAAACCTAATTCAAATTGTAAAATCTTAACACCCATTTATAAAATAAAATCTCTAATTGAACAGTTTTGTTTTCAAAGAAATTCATGATGACCAGAAAGAAGGGTTAAGATCCTCTCCGGATCTTATCAGCCCAGATCCCTGCGGATCAACCAGAAAGCAGCAGCCCCGCTGCAAACTACGTCGTCGCTTCGTTCCCCATCTTCCCAGCTGCTGGAGATCCATCTGTTTGACATGAATCTGGGCTTGGGCATCGACTTGGCTCGATGGATCTCAATTCGGCACGGTTTCTGGAGAAGCAGGGGGACATCGACTTGGCTCAATGGGCATCGACTGGACGACGGCCTTCGTCGGAGAAACAGTCGGGCATCTCCGAGAGACGTCGTCGACCCTGTTCTGCAGTGTGGTGGCAAAGGGCTGTTGCTTTTTGTTGATTCCTGGCCGCCCAATCTTCATTTGGACGGTCGGGATCGGTTGATCCTCAGGATCGGGACGGTTAAGATCCGGAGAGGACCTTAACCCCAGAAAGAAATGTGAGTTGTTCGGGTTCCTGGCAGTCAGGGTTTTGTAATGCTAATTGTTTCAATCCTTAATAACTTCTGTAAAACTAAACAAAAATCCTCTTGTTGTGCAGAGTGCAGAGTGGTAGAAACATTGAAAGATTATGCCATTAAAGCGCACGTGAATACGGTGGATCATTTGGGTTTTTTTTTTGTTTTTTTTTTTTTTTTTGTCAATAGGAATTCCATTAACAAAGCAACATGAGGAAGAAAATACAAAGAGACTCCTTAAGGGAGAAGATAAGCACAGCTCTGTATTGCCAACGATGCAGCCGCATGAGTTGTTTTGTTTGCAGACCTAGGAATCTAATTCCAATGAAGAGAAGAGAACAAGAAAGCATGTCTCCCTACTTCTTCCACTATTAGAATGATTTTCCACAGACCTTTCAAATTTCTTTTTTGAATTATTTCCATAGCATTTTCGAAATAAGTAATGCTAGAAAGATTTAATTTGTACACTCAATTTTGTAAACTAAATGACATAAAAGTTGGTGATTGGATTATTACTAAATTATTAATAAACGTGCTCATTTTTTATTGGTGACACCGCATTTAGTTTGCTAATTTAGTCTCCTTAGCATTATTCTTTCGAAAAGAACAACTCCACTGTTAATGTAAGTTGTCATTGTTTGTTTGATCAATTGTTTTCTAAAAAATTTGAAGCACTTCTAATCCTGGAATTAATTATCTGGGATTAGCCAGAATGAACGTAGGAGTGATGTAGGGTTTAATTATAGAGATCAAATCTTCTGCACCCAAAATGGGTGTGGCCTCTCTGTGGCCCCAATGAGTGTCTGACACCTATTCAATATTTTAACTTTTCTTAATTTTGTTTTCATGAATTTAATAGGTGTCAAACACTCATTGGGGCCACAGAGAGGCCACACCCATTTTGGGTGCAGAAGATTTGGTCTCTTAATTATAGTGTGTGAATTTACGGATAAATTTTAGTTTTATTATTAATTTTATCTTGTACTTGATAATAATTATGCAATAGAATAAAAAAACAATTAACATTTGAAATTTAAGCTTGATGTAGAAAAAGTTACATGGATTTAAATAAAATTTATTTTTCCTTAATTTTTAGGATCAAATAGAATTTTGAGATTTGCACATAACATACGCATATTCAAGTACGATAGACATAGAATTGTTTTAAAAACTTAAAATAACCAAATTGACCTTCCACATATAAATGGGTTATTGCGAAGTCCTCTCTCGCAACCTCTGTTCGACGAACCTTAACCCCTAAGAGCAACTCCAGCCATGGAGCCCTCCCCCTGGCAATCCACTATTTAATCCACCCTATTGAACAGTAACTGCCTTAAATGAATAGTAACTATCATTAATGAGCAGTAATTGACATTTACATCTCCACCCTTGGAACCCTCCCCCTGGCAATAAGCAATTAAAATAATAATTTTTTTTGTTTGTTTAAATAATAAAAAATTGCAACCGGTCCCCCTCCATCTCTCTCTCTCCCTCTCTCTCTCTCTGACACAAAAAAACATAAAAAATTGTAAAACCCTCGGGCCACAGGCCCGTCGACTCCCCACCCCCCCTTCGCTCAGGCTCCCACCGTCGCTCGGCCTCCACACGGCTGGAGCTGCACCCACCGGCCCGAGGGCCCTTTCTCCTCCCCTGTGGCCCGAGCAACCAGCATGGCTGGAACTGCTCTAACGGCGCGAGAGTAAGAGGAATGAGAAGAAGTTAAACTGGAATCGCTCTTCAACCCCTCTCACCCACCTCTCTTTCGCTACTCAATCTCTACATCTATCACAATTCTCAAACAAAGAAACAAGAAGTTCAACTAAAGCAAATTAAGAAACAAATGGCTTCCATCTTCAGGAAAAGCTGAAAAGTGTGGATTGAGGTTTTAATAATCTTGACGAGATCTGGGGCATGAACAATCAAATCAAATTCTTCTCCCTCTATGCCATTTTGAATTGGACCTGAACAAATTCACGAAGCCAAGTTCTTAACATGAGAAGTACAGACACTAACAACAGGCATGACCAACAGAAAGCTGGTAATATGCGTATATGAATTTGGCAGTACAGGAAAAACGGCTTTTGATTTAGTGCTCGTAAAGTGAACCTGCAACCATAGAAGAGACATTTGGATTGACACAGTGATTTGGGAGTACTTGGAATTTTTCTGGGTTTTTGTTCTCTTTTCCCCAATCTTTGTTGTGCTTGGACTTTGAGGTTTCAGAAGTGTCGGGAGTTACCAAGTCCTGGCTGCGGGGGAGATGAGGCTGGGGAAGGAGGTATCGGGAGAAATGGGGCTGGGTTAGTGGTGGGATTGAAGGGGATGCGAAATCGCAGAGCATCGGGGATGCGAGGTCAGCAGAAGGGGCGGTGGGACTGGGATCGATGACGGAGAAGGAAAAATTGGTAGCGACGGAGAAGAAGAAATCTTGTTTTCTGTGAACAAGTTAAAAATACGCACTATATACATTGGATGCACATTAAATGAACACGACATGTACATGATATGCTCACAGATGTGAGCTCAACCCAAAAATCCAGATCTCACAGCTGTTTCTTTGAAATCAGAAAAACGACGCAATGAGCTGTGAGTTTTTACAATTTATATGTGAGTATTTTCGTTATTTTACTTTTGTACATGGTGTGCATGACCGATTTACCCTATTTTGGTCCCAAGATTAACAAAATGACCCATTTATGTAAATTTCCCTAATAATTGGGTTCGAATTTGTGTTTGGTGAGAATCAAATCTATGACATTTAGTTACAAGTGACGAGGAATAGTACTAAAGTGTAGTAATAAGCGGCTCCGAAATATGTAGTTAGATTCTAAGGAAAACTAATGAAAATAACTTGAAAACTTTGAGTTTTAACCAAAAACTACGTAATAACTTTATTTAATGGTTAGGACAAAGCCCAATACTAAATCAGTCTAATTAAAATTGCCCAAATATTGAGTTACAATTTTATCCCTAACATCAAGCTTTTGTCCGTTAATCTCTCTTCATTATGGATCTCTCTCATATTCTCTCCCCCATATTTTCCTGACATTCAAAACCTTCCATTTTTCTTTCTAGTCTCGCATAGCAACTCCATTTCTATCACTATGTAAAAACCATAGCTTCGACCCCAAACCTAATTTTGAGCCATCTCCATCTCTGTGAAAATCGGAAATGATCTCTTACAAGTAAAACGGTATGATTTTGTCACTCTCTCTCCCCCTCCCTCCCAAAATTTCTCTCTCTCTCTCTCTCTCTCTCTTCTCTGTAAAGATGAGCAAGGGATTTGCAATTTCACCGACATCGGCTAAAAAACCAAAGGTGAATTTTTGCCCTTCCCACCTCATTCATCTAATTATTAACCTTTCAATTTGATGAAGAAGAAAAGAAGAATTCAATGTACTGTTTTTCAATTTTTCTTCTTCAGTGGAGTTCATCGTTTGTTTCTCCAGAAAATAAATTTGAGATTTGTTAGCTTTTTGTTCTGTTTTTTTTCAGATACAATGTTTTTTTTTTTCCAAATACAGTTTTACCAACATTTTTTTTCCATAAACAGTGTTATTTTGTTTCCAGAAACAATGTTATAATTTGGTTTTTTTTCTTCAAATACAGTTGTTGATGCACAAAACCGGAAGGGGTCTTGGAGCAACATAAATCCGACCGTGAATCTACAAGAAAGTAAAGAACACAAGATGTATCGTGGTTCACCCCAATGTTTGGGCTACGTCCACACTGATGTTGATATTGTTTCACTCTGAATGGTGAATATACAAGAAGGTTAGAGGCAGTGTGCTCTCTAGCCTATTTTCTGTGTTTACCCTCTCTTAGATGTTTTCTCTCTTCCCATGGCCTAAACCTTGACCTCCCTAATGAGGAGAGTGAGGAGTCATTTTATAGAATAAGGAATCCTCACTTATTACATATTTGCCCCTTCATTTATTACATAATTACATTTGAGTCCCCCGAGTATTTATACGAGGTCTAAATACGGAGACCCTAAATATGGTACAAACAACAGTGTTTGTTTGTACACAAACAAAACAAACATTGTATCAGATTATTTTTCCTGAAACAGTGTTATGTTTTGATTTTTCCAAAAACAGTTTTATGTTTTGGTTCTTTTTTTCAGAGACAGTGTTAGTGTTTTCCAGAAACAGTGTTATTTTTTTGTTTTTCCAAAAACAATTTTATATTTTGTTTTTCCAGAGACAGTGTTAGGTTTTTTTTCCAGAAACAGTGTTGGTTTTTCGCCGGTTTGTTCCGACGATGGTTCTGATTTTTTTTTCCATAAACAGTTTTAGTTTTCCAAAACAGTGTTAGTTTTTACACATTGTATCTGATTTTTTTCCAGAAACAGTGTTAGTTTTTTGTTTCCAGAAACAGTGTTATGTTTTGATTTTTTCAAAAACAGTGTTATGTTTTTCCAAAAGCAGTTTTATGTTTTCGTTTTTTTTTTGTTTTTTCAGATACAGTGTTAGTTTTTTTTTTCCAGAAACAATGTTAGTTTTTCTTTGATTTGTTTCGACGATGGTTCTGGTGCATTTTTTGACACACCCCGACCGATATCAAGGCATGCTGGCCGTCAAATGGGAGTGATGTAGCCATGTGCACAGTGCGGAAGCAATAAGGATAAGAGTTACACGATTAATTAAAAACCAAGTTACTAGAGTGCACTAATAAACAGGGAGTGATAGGAGTTAGTTACAACAGTAAACACTCCTAATCAAAGCATAAAGTTTAGGTGCAGTCCAGTAGGACAAGTACTAGTTATACAATACTAGGAATGTCCTACTATTATTTAGATAAGTCAGAACTGCCGACGTCCTCGAACCACCAACAACAACTTACTTAAAACCTGGAGGGGCGCAAAACAGAAAACGTGAGTGGGCAAAAACAAATGTTTTACAAAATCATTTCATTTATCAACATAACTAACCCCTCGCTGTAAAACATGTATAATTTTTCCAGCATATACATAATATATATAAAATCATATCAATTCAGTTCATGCTTCACATAATCATATTCATATGTATATATGCCATGCTAAGATATAACGGAGTAAACAATTCAGGTAAGGATAATTTCATAGGAATATGATATGTTAGCCGGAACTCATGTGGTAGTCTGTACGGCTGAATTCATAGCTCAAAAGTCAATCTAGCCGGAGTCACTACAATGACCTATACGACAATATATTGCACATAAGTCGGAATCCCTAAAAAGGGTCTGTACGACAAGATTGGGTGTGATATAATTATACTCAATTCTACTCTCTCATAATAGCCGGGCGATAAATCGCTAGTCACCTACGAGTCAGAACCATAGATAAGGTCTGTACGACAAGACTGTGCACTTAAGTTGGATCCAATAT